TAGTATTAGTATTAGTATTAGTATATTAATATTGGTATTAATATTAATATTACTATTAGTATTAGTATTAGTATTACTATTAGTATTAATATTAGTATTAGTATTAGTATTAGTATTAGTATTAGTATTAGTATTAGTATTGATATTGATATTCGTATTGGTATTAGTATTGGTATTGGTATTCGTATTGGTATTCATATTCGTATTGGTATTCGTGTTAGTGTTAGTGTTATAGTTTTAGTATTAGTGTTAGTATTTAGTATTAATGTTAGTATTAATATTAGCATATTAGTATTGTTTCTAGCATTAGTATGTAATCTAATAGCAATATCACTTCATATGTTACAACTCTAAATTTAATTTTTTTTAAGGGTAAATTATGAAACCCCCGAACTTAGTCTAAATTATGAAAAAACCCTCACCTACCCGTAAATATCAAAATCCCCCAACGTTTGTTTCTTTCTTAAACCAACCCTCTTATGGTGTTATTTTTCGTGTAATTTTTTTGAATACTTGGAATATTTTTCAAAAAATGCTGATTTAATTCCTACAAAAGTGACATTTTTATACTACTTTTTAAAGGCAAAATTTACTCTCGGGAGGCCTTTACATGGAATCTTTATTTTTCTTAAATAACACCTTCACAGTTTTATAGTATTACAATGACCTCTCTAAGAGTAGTTTTTATCTTAAAAAAGTAACATAAAGAATTGGCACTTTAGTAGGAGTAAGATCAAAATTGTTCGGAAAATATTCCATGGAATAAAGAAAATTCAGAGAAAAATAATACCATAGGGGGGTCGGTGTAAGACGAAAACACATGTTAGGGGGATTTTGGTAAGGGTAAAATTCATTTTGCACCCCTGTACTATGAGAAATGTATCGTTTACCCCCCTGATGTATGAAAAACATCAAATACCCCCCTGCCGTTAACTTTTTTCTTGAATCCGTTAGTCGAACCCTTTTACTGGCCGTTATAAAGACCCGTTGGCTTTTTTTTTTGACGAAATTACCCCCAATAATCTCTATATAGGTTTTGTTTGATTGGCCAAACAATAAGAAACATGTTCAGTTATTTTTGAAGAATCTAAAATTAAGTTGTTTGGTTACAATCATCATGATTATGTTAGTTGGTTTACAAATATGTGAATCTAAGACAAATGAAGTATTCAAGAACAGAAGAAAAAATGGGTGAAAATAGTGAAAAAAACATGTTGAAAAGAGTGAAAAAAGGGTTGAATAAGTGGGAAAATTTAGTAAAAAAGAGCTAAAACTAGACAATCTATATATAGAGATTATTGGGGGTAATTTCGTCAAAAAAAAGCCAACGGGTCTTTATAACGGCCAGTCAAAGGGTTTGACTAACGGATTCAAGAAAAAAGTTAACGGCAGGGGGGTATTTGATGTTTTTCATACATCAGGGGGGTAAACGATACATTTCTCATAGTACAGGGGTGCAAAATGAATTTTACCCTTTTGGTAACTACGGATATGTGGAGGTTTTTTTTTTTTTTTTTTTTTGTAGTTTGGCCTAAGTTCAGGGGATTTTTCGTAGTTTACCAAATTAATCACCGTGCATCGCACGGGTGAATTACTAGTTAACTAATAAAACTCAATTGTATTATTGGACCGTGAAAGATCCAATAAAAAATATGTCTAAAAAGCAAGATAAAAGATGGTAACATAATATTTGCGAGTCGACCGCAAGTTATTGGGATACCAAACATAAAAAAAATCTAATTATTTAGTTAATCATGACTAATCTCCCCAACCAAACGAGGCATTAATCACGCATATACAAAACTTATCAAAAAAATAAAAATAAAAATGAATAATTTGACAAAAACCCCCCACTACACAAGGGTCGTTACATTAGGCCCAAATTGTTTTTTTTATTTTTAAGATAAATTCAACAGAGCTTTTATTAATTAAAAACCCTTAATTATCACTATTATGCCCCTAATTAATTAATACACGTGTTTTTAATATCTGTTATTAGAGAAAATACATAATATCTTCTGCATAAATATTTTAGCGAGCACTTTCTCAATTAATTCCACCATTAACGCTTAATGATTGCACATTTCCGTTTATGTGGAATCGAAATTGTAACTCACATAAATAATAATTTATTTGTGTCATTGGATAAGCGGCGGCTGTGTAGATTCACATGGTGGTTTTCGACTCACATGAGAATTTAAGATGAGTTATATGTGAGGTTTTGTATTGATTTACGTTGGACAGTAGTTTGAATGTGTATGTACACGTTTTGTTGATATATATAAGATTTGTATGTGTTTGGTGCACTGTACAGGTTGTGTTGATACTTAAACAAATGTAAGAGTGGTTTTTGCATGCATAGTGGTTTTCGCGCACATAGTGGTTTTCGCGCGCGGAGTGGTTTTTACCCTTGCCTTATTAAATCCATGTATTTTGACCTTCCCATATTATTGAATACACTATTGTGCAAAGTGAATTTTGCCATTTTTCACTGTAATACAGTGTCAATTTTTTACCGAAAAAGCTTGTGTGATGTTGAACCAATATATGTATATTGTTTGCCCTAAAGAGAAGAAGTTTTTGTCCGAAAATAATAGTAGATTTTCTTACACTAAACATGAAGCCATTGATGCAGTATTTGGAGATCAAGAGAAAAAGAATGAAATGGATTTTCGAGATACTGGGAAAGTTGGGGGTGAGATTTGTGGAGAGATGGAGAAATATTGGGACGATTTTTAGGTAATGTGATTTTAGAAGAAATTATGCATTTAATTCACCATATTTTTTATTTAAAATAATTATACTAATTAGTGGGGTTATAAGGTTTTTTAGGCCCAATAAATTTATGTTAAATATCAATTATAAATTAAAAAATTATCAAGATGTAAAAAAATCTCAATAGATCCGGCAAGTTCACCGCTGGTGGTGGTGTTGTGGAGATCCGACGAGTTCACGGTTGGGAATGGCAATCCAAGTTCTTTGCCAACTCTGGCAAATTCACCCCTATACCGAACAAAAATAAATGGAAAAGATTGGGTCATAGATTCGGGAATTGGGATTGAATTTGCATAGGTTTTCTGTGGGGGTGTGTTTGTAAGCGATGAACATAAATGGCGATAATGGAGATGATGATGAGTATGCTAGATTAATTTTATTAACTAAATAAAAATATAAATTAAATATTTTATTATATTAATAGGTTAAGAAAATATAAAATATTACGGGCAAAATATATCCATCTTTATACATAAGTTATGTATATCTTTATAATTATATATACAACAACTTAGGGGTAAAAATGTCAAAAAAAATAATTTAAGAAAGTCAACTTGCCACACAAGTGAATTGAAAATAGAGAAGCCATTTTGGAACATTTTGTAATTTATGGTGGTACATATCTCATAATTAAATGGTGCAAACTCAACTTTGCCCTTAAAATAAGGATAAATTAGGTAAGTCACAAATTTAAATTTAATCTAGGGACTTTTATTGATAAACAATAGTCACTATGATTGATTTCATTTGAATAAATAATATACAGTAGAACCTCGTTCAAATGATATATTTCTTCTAATTATCAAAAAAAAAAAATGATATATTTCTTCAATTCTGGCTCGAAATCAATGTGCTAAATTAATATTTTATTAAATAAATTCCATTAAATTAATACTTTTTTGTTGTATTAATTATATTTTTCTAATTTTCTTTCTACTTTATACTAGTGGCATTTGGTTTGCATTGACCCAATAGTGGTTGGAATATTGCAATATACAAATGCAAAACTCCAACATTTAATGGAATTAAATATTTAATAAACTAATTATGGGTCCCTTGATCTCGATTCTGAACTCTGGAGCCTATCGTCAATTCTGGTTCATAATATAGCCAATAATTCTATGCTTTGGGATTTTCAACCCTTAAACATTAGATATAAATGAAATAAAAAATAGGGTAAATTACAATCACCCCGAGGTACGGTTAAATTACGAAAACTTCCGTCTTGTAATTACAATCACTCCTCAACTATAAATCTTCTTACATATTCACCATTGCAGTTTTTAATTTAGTGGAATTTTTTAGATTATATGTAATATTATCACTTTTGTACCCGTTATATCCCATTCGAGCTCCACATTTTGAAGCAAGATGATCATAAGATGTGTTTTTGGCTTGTATATATCACATTTTTGTGCATCAGAAACAGTATTGTTACACAAAACGAGTACAAACTAGAGCACATTCTACGAAATCTAGATGATTATGTTGAATTTGACACCATAAGAGTGGAAGTGTAAGAAGATTCATAGTTGAAGGGTAGATGTAATTATCCAAACAAAAGAAGGTTTTTCGTAATTTGACCATATCTCAGGGGTGGTTGTAATTTACCCTAAAAATAATTGGTTCGAATTGAGAACTAAGAATTTAAATATCATTTTAAATAATTTACTCAAAACAAATTTAATGAATTTATTATTAGACATTTAAATTTATTAGCCAAGTTTTTTCATCCAAATACAGCACAAAAACATCTAATTGACTCACATATAAGCATGTGAGAATTGATAAAAGCCAAACATGTAATAATCTACATATACAGCAATACCAATAACGTTTTCTAAATGAGATTAAATTCTGAGTGGATGAACCGATATTGAATATAAATCTGAATTCCACTAATTTTTTGACATGTGGCACTCTTAAGTCTTAACTACGGGTTATGCTATGTTTTTTTTCATTTTTTTTTCTAATTATTAGAATCCTAATTATATTTTTATTTAAATTATTCACGTGTCAATCATTCTATGACATCCGATTTTTCTATTAAAACATGTTATCGGATCTAAATTTGCACCGTTTCTAAATAAATATTAGATATGATGAAATACATCGACATTTTTTTATTTTTCTATTACACACAAACACATACGAGTGCGTAAAATACTTACGAATCTAATCACCAAGGCGTAAAATAATACCTCCACAGTCCACACCATGATCTAATAAACGTGTATATATATGTTACAATATAATCATATAAACTTCACCAAATAAACATACAACCAAACTACACAACAACCAAAGCAATAAATTCATGATACTTTTAGGCATGGAAAAAAAATAAAAAAAATAAAGAGGTAAATAAAAATTAAACATTAGCATAAAGCTGAGGGTTAAAGGAAAACCATCTGAAACCACAACTCCACTTGTGAGGCAAAGAAGGGCATTTAGGCAGCCAATGCCAAGTCCTCCTGCACACCTTATAGTACAAAATCTCCGGCCAAGTGTAGCAGCACACACAAATCAACCCTTTGTGCCAAAAGCAATACACATGCTCATAGTTATGATAACACACCGACAAAAATTTCTTGCACAACATCTCCGGCAACGTTTCGACCTCCGCCCACCGATTCGTACCATCTTCTCGATCGTATATATACTCCCACACTTTCACACTCCTCGATATCCCGCTCACTCCTACTCCACCAACCAGGTACATCCTGCGGTCCCCATCGCTCACCAACCGCGCGAACGCCACCTCATCGCCCCCACCCCCGGGTGGTAACAACCCTAACGCCGACCTCTCCCAACTCCCCATCTCCAAATCGAAGCACGCGACGCTGAACGGCCGCGACGTGGCGAAAAAGACCCGCCCGTCGAAGAAAACCCCGTTTTGGTGGCGTGTCCCGTTGAGCGCCGCGGACCCCCCGGCGGCGTACTCCCGCCACGCGCCGGCCTCCGAGTCGTAGACTAGGGCGGCCGCGGCCGCGGACGACGAAAGCATGAATAGCTTGTATGCGGCGATATTATTATTATTATTATTCGGTGCGGTGGGGACCGCCACGAGAGTGAGGAGCTCGAAAGCAAAAGGGCGGAAAGGGTATTTCACGTGTCGTATCGACTTGGTCAAGAGGTTGCACACGACGAAGGAATACGAATCCGGGGCGGAGAAGCAGAGGAGGCCGTTGGAAGAAGTAAGAAGAGTAGTATTACCGGAGCATTTGAGGGTCGACGAAGGGATCGAAAGCGAGACGGGGCACCACGAGTTTGTGACGGTGTTGTAGAGAGGGTATTTGTTATGAGGGAACTGTGGATGTGAGAGAAGGATGAAAGAAGAGAGAGAAGAAGATGATGAAGAGGAGAGAGAAGAAGAGTGTTTGGAAATGAAGAGAGGTGAGGATAGGATGGATTTGAAGTGTTTGCAGGTTGATCGGAGGCTGAGGAATGTTTTCAGGGGCAAGAAGGAGAGGACCCGTTCCAGTAGATGATCCGGTAACCCGCTCCATATTCTTGGATCCATATCCATATGATCCATATATATATGATGATCCAGCTTGATCTCTCTGATCAAATTCTTATATATCTTTTTGGCATGCAATAAATTTGTGAGAAATATATATATAGTGATTGAGACAAAAATTAGGTCGGCTAGAATAATTAATGTGATGCAAGAGAAAATCTAAAGTGTTGGTGTGAAACCTAAGAAGGGTGAGAATATATATATATATTGACTACTAGACATATTACATAATCCATATAAATATATAGACACACACATACGTGGAGATGTATGATTCATATATATACACATCACATCACACATGAATTCAATTTAATTTTATGTTTGTTCTATAATTTCAAGTAGTTTTTTCACTCACATAGAGGAAATTGTTTCTTATTTGGTTTATGATTTAGGAAAAAATATGAGTGTGAAACGAAAAAATATAGTTGACATATATATATATATATATATATATATATATATATATATATATATATATATATATATATATATATATATATATATATATATATATATGCAAGCAACTTGTTGAATTGTCAATGATAATTAATTTACAACTTGGACATTAATAATGACTTTGTGATTTAGGAAGGTTGAAATTTTAAAGGGCATTTGACTAAACTTATTTTAAACATCTGATAAACTATTTTAAGAGTTGATGAGATATCACATATTATGTGTAGAATTAATTTTTAGAATGTTTGGGTAATGAGTTATACGTTATTTTTACACATTATAAGATTTTAAATAAAAATGTGTGATAGTTGTATTTTTTTTAAATAAATCTTATTTGCTCTTAAATAACTTATTTTTTGAATTTTTTAGATCTTTTTAAAAAAATAGCAAATACTTTAGAAGAATTTATAAGTTCTGAAATATCTTATAAGCTCTTTTAACAACTTATAAGCTTAACAAAAAACACTCCTAGTCATCCAAAGCAAAATGACTTGAATAATTCTTTATACAATTAAAAGTTTCTTAAAATTTATGCAACTTGACGTATATCAAACGATTTTTCTTCCATTTTGCTTCAAATAAAGTACTTTTCATTAAAAAGTTAACCAACTCTTCACCCGTTTTATTAGTTTTATTATATACACGAAATGTACACCTAAGTCTTATTAGGAACCTATATTATACTTTAATAAACACTATAAATAAATTTAATTTGGCCAATTGTTTATGTTTAATTTCAAGGCCATGCTTGGTTAAAAATGAGTTCAAATTTAGTCTAAGGATACCTTTAATTGCAAAATCTTTGTTTTAATTTTATTGATATATATTAAATTAAATTATTATATTCACCCCTATATTTAATTTGCTATTTTGATTGGAGGGTTGGGACCTGGGATGAATAGGTAGGGATGGGACAATTAATATTGATACTAATTTTATTATTAGTAACATTAATTATGGTATTTGTTTCGTATGACTATAAATTTAGAAATTAATAGTCATTGATCAACAATCTTCTGTTTCTGCCCTTGAAATTGAGTAATAATATGAGATTAATTGTAAAATGACTGAAATATCCAATGAATATGGGTACATCATTTTCACACGTCATATTAATTTACTTTCTAAGGGCTCTATCATCATTATGCATTGGTCTAGGTCATGGGATTAATTGGTGATACGTTATGCTTGATACATTATCAGCTAATTGGGTTATAAATTTATTCTTGTAAGTTGTAACTAAGGCTTCGTTGGATTACATTTACGTAGGCTAGATTTTTTTTTTTACCAAATTGTCCTACTAATCCGTCGCTCTACTGAATCATACCCATTCTCTATCGAAATATTTTTACCGAATGAATACCACACCATATCGTATCGTACCGAAATATTTTGGTAGGGTAACGATACTCAATACTATTAAAATGCTATTATCCTACCTATCGAAATACTATTAATAAATAATAATAAATAAAAGTTTATTTTAATATGTAATATTTTTTTATAAAAAATTAACATAGTACGCTACCTAACAACTATGAGATAAAATTAATTGTACTTTTTAGGTATGTCCAAAATATTTTAAATTGATTTCATAAATGGTAAATGATGATATAAATTGATTTCATAAATGGTAAATTATAATATAATTTTATTTAAGAAATATTTTATATTAGGTAAATTAAGAACATATATTTAGAATACTTAGAGCAACTCCAACGAAGGAATTAAATGGGGTATCAATTGATAAAACTACCATTTTGATACTTCTCAAAACACAAAAATCTAGTGTTTTCAATTTCATTTGATAATGCTAGTGCGAATACCGCTAGCATAAATTACTGTGAAGGTACTTAGACCGACATTTAATGGTAAGTTTGTGATTGTTATATGTATTTGTCATGTTTTAAACTTATGTGTTTAAGATGGATTGAAAATGCCTGAACATCAACTTCAACAATTCGAAAAATGATAAAGTATTTATGGAGAAATCCATCGGTTAAAAAAATGGTGTTTGTTTCGTAAAACGATTGGGGAACGTCCAAATTTGTTTTCCTCAAAAGATATCTCAACCCGTTGGAATTCGACTTTGAATCGTTCATATAAGCTTATGATTACAAAAAAAATGTTATGCACTTTTTTTATAATGATATTGGCTATTCTTCTTTCACACTTTTGTCTAGCCAATGGGATGCTTGCCAAAATATTTTTAACCTTTAACAAGTTTTTAATACTTCTACCGAAGAATTATCCGGTGTTTATTATCCGACTTCTCGATCATTTAGTACTTTTGCTTTTTGTTAATGTTGCTAGTGCATTTAAGGATTCCTCGGATATTTTTGAATTGCATGATTCGGTTAAAACTATACAAGAAAAGTAGATAAATATTATTTCAAGATTCCCAAACTTTATTTAGTTGCCCTTATTTTAGATTATAGAAGTAGAATTGAATTTGTTGAAACATTATTACGTACTATGGAGCATTAAGACCGAAGGATTATGATGGTGAGAACAATGTGACTTTGGTTGCGAATTCCATTCGAAAGAGTAAGCTTTCTTTGGTAAGATTATATAGTGAATACAACTTCAAATACGGAAGTACACTCCCGAATAGATCTACTCCTTCTAGTTATTCGAACTTTTCCTTGGCACAATGTTTATTAAGGAGCACACGAAGCGCTCAAGGGCTACCGACTCAAGTTCCACTCCGAAACTTGAGATGTATTTAACATCATCTTTTGAGTGTTATATAGATCCCGCTCACTTGGGTTAACTACAATGGTGGTCGACCAAAACAACCAAATTCTCAATATTTGCACTTATCGCCAAGTACGTTCTATCTTCTCCGGTTAGTACCGTTGCCATCCAACAAGCTTTTAGTATGGGTAGCAACATCTTGGATGAAAGAAGATCATTATGACATGCGGATAATTTGGAAGCTCAAGTACTTTTGGGCGATCGGACAAGAGCCGAGTATCGCTTACAAGGAGAAAAGGTGTCGAAAGACAATGACGAATTTGTAGATACCGATACGTCTGATGGCGAAAGATAAGCAAGGTAAGTAAGAACTATGTGACTTTGATTCATTTTGTTAAAAAAGGATACGCAGGCCACTAGCTTAATTTCTAAGTTTTAAAGTTTAACTTTAAACTTTAAAAATTAAGTGCAAGCCCTTTCAATTTCCTTTCTTTTCTTTTCTTTTTTTTTTATTTTTTAAAACTACAACTAATTCCTTCAAAAAATTTAAAAGTATAAAATATTTTTTTAAGTTTTTTTAAAATTTGACTTCATCAATAAGTATAGAGTGTCTACAATAAATTTTTTCAAAAGTTTTAGCAAGTGTTTTTTCAAATAAAAAAAAAGTATAAAATATTATTCGGAACCGGTTGAACCGGAACCAGCACCGGACCGGAACCGACAGTTTTCCAACCATGTAAAACCGCCTATATAAGGAGGAACTGGAACCGGAACAGAACCGGAATTGGAATCGGAACTCGAATCGAACTGAATGGTATCCATGTCTAATTATATGTATTTGTCTATAAAACTTTTTTATTTTTCTTGTTCAATCACCAAGTGCAAAATTAATCGCAGGAGAGATTGATTGCTATTAATTTAATGAAATAAAGACATTTAATTTCAACTTTAATTTTCGTAATGGGTCTTGAGTAAATGCGAAATTTGTCAACTAAACATTTTACTGGCCTCTACTATTTTGTCAATATAAAATCTACCAGTGGTAACTGATAACGAAACAACCTTCACAGGTAACTCTTATTCAAGTAATAATCTATAAAAAATGTTAAATATTTTATCATAAGAAAGATTAAAGTATTATCTAGAAACTACAAAAGGCTAAGATGGTCATCTCTCATTTATGTGTAAATTATTAGATTACTTCTTACAATTTACCAAGTTATGAATTCTAGTTTATTAGCCTAGAGTACGACCGTAATTATTAAACATTAAATTTCTTTTCTCTTTTTTTTAAGGAATAACTATTAAATATTAAATTTCAAGCTCTAATAATAAACCAAAATGAATATGTATATATGTATACAACCACACAACACCAGCAAAATATATATAGGGGTATCATTGCTAGGGATATCGAAGTTGTTCATCATTACCGTGTATCAACGTAACTTATGCTAATGGAAATTTCATATCATTATTGTACCAAAAAATGCAATATACTAGTTTTTGGTATACCGTTACTTTCGATACGATGTCGTGGTAGAGTGGGATGATTTAGGTAATATTGATCTCTACAATAATAAATGATAAAGTCTTCTTTTTAGAAATTGTCTTTGGAGGTTGTGTAATGGCCCACAGGAAAAAAAAAACAGATATAACATTGTAGTATTGTAAAGTTATTGATCCTTTAAAAAAGCAACATCATATATGTAATTATAAGTCAAAATGCAGATTGTGGCTGTTTTGAATTTGGATAACTTTAGAAAAATATTTGTTAAATTCATATAGATGATGGTAAAAAAAACATTTTCTCTTCACTGCCACAAGAACAAGAACAATACAACAGTACCACTGCAACTTCGTCCTACTTGGATGAAATTTTCTTCCATAATGTCGATTCAACCTCCCACTTTAATTTGAGCCAAAATTATTCCTTGAATCAATGTATTTTTTCGGTTGAACCTACTACTTTGAGCATAAGTTTTTCCTTAAAAATAGTAAATATAAAGAAGAAACATGACTATAGATAATTTGATACGGTC